ATATTGTGTAAATTTTTTTTATATTATATGATTATTATAGGTGGTGTTTATATTTTTTTTGTTAGTTTACATTTTATTTACATAATATATTAATACTTTAGTTTTCATTAATATATTTTATTTGCTATAAAAATTAATAAAATTATAATTGCGCGATCATAAAAAGCTTGATTGTAAGGGGGTATTTATTTATGGGTCCTATATATAACTGGAGGTGCTTATTTTTAGGGGGTGCTTACTTTTAGAAGAATACGATAAAATTAATTTTTCTGAATTGTATGATAATTTTAATATAGATTTTTCAGATATTAATGTTTAGAATTCCAAAAATGACTTACATAAACTTGTATATTTGACTCATATGATTGTGCATAATTATAAATTTTAGTTATACATAATAAATAAGTATTTTAAATTAAAGATATGTAGGATAATTTTGATTTGAAACTCATCTCAATTTGACTCATTAGGAATACTATTAATATTAAAACTAATTTATCATTTTTAAAAAGTTTTACCATAAATTTAAGTATATTAGGAAAAAATGATAAATTAAATTTAATAAGACAAGGCGCTACTGATCTCTATAAAAACAATAATAATTGTAAATATGTATTTGTGTAATAGTTATTTTTGGGATTTTGAAGGTAGAGATTTAGTTTTGAGTGAAATAGATATTATAGTAGAAATTAAATGTAATTATATTATTTTATTAAGATCTGCTCTTTTATAACATTTTTAATTTAATATTCTAAAAAATAGATTTTTAATAGTTTATTATTTAAGAAAATTATTTTATAATGAAATTTAAAATTAATAATTTAAATTAATAAAATAAATTTGAATTTTTAACTATTATAAAATATTTTAATTATTATAATGTATAAATTTTATAATTTTAAAATATTAATTTATTAATAATATTGTTTTAAGTCAACTTGAGTCAAATCAAGTTTGAGTCAAGTTTAAATTGAGTTGAGTTAAATATTTAACTCAACTCAAATTTGATTTAACTCATAAATGATTGAGTTAAAAATATAAATTCAACTTAATTTAAACTTAACTTAGCTTATCTGACTTGTGAGTTAACTCGACTTATCTAGAACTCTAATGATAATGATATGTAAAGATAAAGATAAGTGATTGAAATTTTTTTTTAAAATATATAATAGGATGATTACTAAATTAAGTATCTGCTATACAATTCAATATTGAGTTTAGTTAAATTCATGTCTTGTTACGCATTTATAAATTTAACTAATTTAAAATTAAACTATTAGTTAAGTAAATAAAAATCTAACATGTGATATAATTTTTTATGATTATTAAGCAAACTCAAATTTAACATATTTGTATATTGTTCAGGGTCCTCTTCTGCCCTTTGTTTAATTATCAGAGTATTATTATATATGATCAGAAAAGTTTGAGATAAATAATTTTACAATGTTTATGCTTTGAAAATTATTATATTTATATAGAACTCTGAAAGATAAATGATTATTATACCTATATTATCAATATATTTAAAAATTGAATCTGATCTCTATTTTAATGATAACTTGATTAGATAAAACTATAATATATAATGTAGTTTATTATTAATATATATCTAATTTACTAATTACTAATTAATCATTTTCTGATCAAATAGAAAATCTTTATTTAAAGATTTAAAATAATATCTATTATAAATTTATTAATAAAACTAAATTTTTATTAATTTTAAATCTTATTTACATTTTATATTATATAAATTTAGTATTTAGTTATAATTAATATTGATTGATAGATTGATTAACTTGTTTCAAATATATATTATATGTATACTTATATATTTAGACATATAATGTCTCAGCTAAAACTTTTACAGTATATCTATCTATAAAATAAACTTAATTATTACTAATTAAGTTAAAGTTATTAATCTCTTTTATTAATTTAATTAAATAAAATATGTAAAAATTAAATAAATATATTAAAAGCATAAATATTTTAAATATTAATTTTTTATATAATAATAAAATGAAATTTATTTTTATATAATAAATATAATCTTTGAAGTTGTTTTATTAAATAAATTTAAGGTTAAGTAGTTAAAACCTTATTTAATTTATATATATTATTCATTTCTTATTATATAAAATAAAATAAATTAAGTTATTTAAAATGCTTTAATGTTTTCTTATAAAATAAATAATAGTAGTTTTTTTATACTTATATATAAAAATATTTAAATTTATTTAAAATTATTCAAAAAAATATCACTTTTATTTTAACAGAATTATATTAAAAAATATAATACTAATAACTTATTAAACATTTATAAAAAAAAAAAATTATGATATTGATTATTAAATAATTATTAGAAATTTAATAATTATAACAAGAAATTAAAAGTTTTCTTTTAATATATTTTAGCTTTGTAAGTTTTAATTATAAGTTTATTATCTATTAAAATTTTTTTTATATTATAATATATGAAAGAATAAATAATTAAAATGATTCTTGTATAAATTATTTTGAGATTTTTGATCAAATTTTTATAATGACGTCTAAATGATTCTTTAATAGAAGAAATATTAAATGAATTAAATAATCACAAATAGTTAATAATAATAAATGGTTTAAAAATATTATAATTTAATTATTAACAAAGTTTTTTTATTATAGAAAAGAGAATAAATATTTATGTATATTAAAGGTTAGAATATAGGTTATATAAATTAATTTTAAAAGAAAGCAAAAATAAAAAGATTTACTTATATAATATTTAATAAGACTTTAAACTTTATAAATAACGATTAAAAAATTCACAATATTTTTTGTTATTTATATACTAATCAAAATATTAAACTTATATATGATTCTGAAAGAATGACAAAAAAAATTTTGAAACTTACAAGTTATTATTATATGTATTTTTTATACAATTATTTCAATTTAATATTAACTGTTTTCATTTCTATAAAATCTAATAAAAGGAATAAATATGCAGATATACTGTAAACAAACTAGCAAAACTACAAAAGATATTATGAAACTTGTATTAAATTAGATTCAGGTTAAATTTTAAGCAAAAACCAATAGACTTGAATCTAAAATTAATATATTTTAAGTAATGCAAGCATTATTTTTAGTTTATACAAGTTTTTTCTTACAGTTATGCAAGTTATAAATAAAAGAAAAAAGTATTTACTTTTATAACTTTTATAAAATTTCATAATATCTTACATATTTAAAATCTTTTTTAATTTTAAGATTAAAATAAATTATTAGAATAAAATATATAAATTTAAAATATAAATAATATATATTCTGATAAATATTTAGATTAAACTAAATTATTATGTATAGTTATACTCGTAAACATATATGTATAAATAAAAATAAACAGAAGCAAATTTATATAAATATTTATATAAATTAAATATCTGGTTAAACAACTCGATAGTATTTTAAACTTGTTTAATGTAATTAAAGTAAATTCTTGTGTTTGTACCAAGATATATAGGGAAAATTATTGTCACATCTTTTAAAAACTTATCTGTTTTCGTTTCAAATAAGGTTTTTGTAATTCAATTTTATTACTTTAAATGGGTTGATGAATGGAAAACCTCTTTTTATCACTTAATGATCATTTGATCGTGAGAAAGGTAATATTCTAATAAAATCAAAAAAAAATTTTTTTTTTTTTTTAGAAATTTGGAAAAATGAATGTGCGTAAAAATTATTTTTGTTGTTTTAATTTGTATAGTTAGGATTAATGATATTAATTAAACATTTATTTCATAGACGACATTAAAAAATAAACTTCCAACATTATGTCAAACACTTTTTGAAGCTAAAGCTGCGAAACGTATAACGTGGGTGGTTTTTTTTTCACACTTTGATAATCATTTATATAATAAACCTTGTTAGTCATTTGCTTCTTAACAGATTTGCAGATATTGGTAAAAAGATTGATAAAGATGAAGTTTGGGTTGCAGCCGTTTTTTATGGACAGGTCGATACTTTATTTATTTTATAAATGTCATTTTTTTTATAGTTCGCAATACATTTTTTGATTTTTAATATTGCTTAAAGGCTAAACCGGAAGAATCAGATTTAAAGAAATTAAGTGTTGTGTTAGACATCAAAGAAAATTATTTGACTACTGAACTTGGAACCAAGACTTATTTTCCTGATCGTGGAGGGTAATTTATTATTGAATGGATTTGTTTGTTCACAAGAAAGAACATTAATTAATTTCTCGTGATTTTTTCAAGACTATTTCAAATGCCACCGACCGATCCTGTTATTTATCGATTTTACGAAATTTTGCAGGTGAAAAATTTAACATTGGTATAAGCTATTTTAATATATCAATAAATAACGATCGAATCTCTATCCTATGTTTTTTAGGTGTATGGATATCCGCTCAAAGCGATTATTAACGAGAAAGTAAATCATCGAATCGAAAATAAAACTTTATTATCATCATTATGTTAAAAATCTAATATTAATTTTCTTAGTTTGGTGATGGGATTATGTCTGCAATTGACTTTACTGCCAAGGTTGACAAGGTAATTTAATTTTTATTTATTTATTTATTTATTTTATGCGTTTATGGTACGTGCATTCATAGATATACAATGCATATATAGATTGAAAAAGATGATCACGAGAGAGTTAAAATTACGTTTGATGGTAAATTTTTGCCATTCAAAAAATGGTAATTGATAACCATAATTGAAAAAAAGCTCGTGCCGTATTTAACCTCTTATCTACCAATCACAAGTTGTAATTCTGTAATTATAAAAATAAGTTTTTTTTTAATGTTGCAAATGTAATAATAATAAATAACTTTTCGACTTTCCTTTGGAATTTTTCTTATTTGTTCAAAGATATAAAAATAAAGAAAAAAAGAAAATCCATTTTCAAAATAAAATTATAAAATGTCTGATCTTAATAGTCTCGCAAATCAATTTGTTCTATATTATTACAATGAGTTTGCTACCGACAGGAATAACCTCAGACCACTTTACGTAAGTGTATTTTTTTTTCAAAGTTGAACGAGTACTCCGTGCTTGTTCTGTAAAAAATAAATATTTAATGCCTTTTAGTTATGTTATATAATTTTTTTATTCCGTTTTTTGATCTTATTTTTTTATCTCGCGTGAAATGTGTATATTCAACATATTAATACTTTTATGGTTCTATATTAAGCGTGACGATTCTATGTTAACTTTTGAGGGTGCCCCGTTTAAAGGAGTGAATGCTATTATCGGAAAATTAACTGTAAATATACATATACATATTTGTTTATTTCTTTATATTTTTAATATATAATAATGAATTTTCTCATTTTTATTTTTATTTTATTTTTTTAAGGGTTTGCCATTTCAACAAGTGGCACATCGTATTGCTACCCTGGATGCTCAACCAAGTATCAATAACGGAATCATTGTGATGGTAACTGGCGAGTTGCTGGTAAATTATCAAATTTAAATATTTTTCAAATCGATTTTATTTTCTCGAATTATTCAATTTATAAAATTTTTTCGTTTTTGTTAAAACAAAAAAAAAAAAAAAGATTGACCAGGAAACCAATGCACAAAGATTCTCGCAAGCTTTTCAGCTCATTCCTGAAGGTAGTACTTATTGGGTGCTTAATGATGTTTTCCGTTTGAATTATGGTTAAAAACATAGACTATTACTTCCTAAAAATACAAATGCAGTCTATATACATATATATATATTAAAACATCTAAAGATTTATTGTACATTTATTTTAAACTTTTTTTTTTTAAAAAAAAAAAAAAAAAAGGAAAAAAAAAATTAAGAAATCCTTATCGAGAGATTGTATTCAATCGATAATTAATTTATTGTGCCCGTTTAATTTTATTAATATTTAAATTTATAAATAAATCAAATAATAAATTACCATTATACTGCATTTCTATAGCCAAAATAATTATTTTTATTATAATAATTGGATATATAGTATACACTACGCAGTATAAAAATTGTTTAAAGTAAAAATACAACCATTGATTGATTATACCTTGGCTAACAGAATCGCAAGTGCAAAATAATAAAGAACGAAAAGGAAAAAAAAAAAAATAAATTCAAGATCAAAATAAAATAATTATACTATCATAATAATTACGCGTCGTAGTCGGACAGGGGGCAATCCTTTTGAATGTGCCCTTCCTAGATGTATGAATAAATTGATGATAAGAATTTTTTTTTTTTAAAAAAAAAAAAAAAAAAAAATATCTCATGCAACAAAATAAGCATCATACCTTTTGACATTTATAGCAGACTTTAGAACCTCGCGGATAATCACAATCTCTGCTTTGGTGACCAGAACGTCCACAGTTATAACATTTTTGTTCCTTATCGCAATCTCTACGAAAAAGAATCACGCTTGTGTGAGATTATTCGTTTATTAATAACATAATTTACATAAAGTCATTAAACCCATTTTTACCGTTGATAATGACCATATTCTAGAGGATTAATGAGCATATTAGAGATACGTATAAAACGCGTGAATTCACTTGAAAATTAAAAATTAAATATATCGTACCACCACAGCTAAAGCATGTCTTGCTATTACCACCACCACCGGAATTATAATTATTGTAATACCCTTTTCCGCCGCCTGTTCGACAATTACGAGAAATATGCCCGATCTAGAAATACATTATAATAAGAACTCTAATGTCCTTAATAAGGATTTAATATATAGATGTATCATACCTTTCCACACTATAGTAATAATTTAGAAAGAACAAATTAGAAGGAGATGATAAAGATTTATAGTAGAACGCTCAGTTAAAAGTATGTAATAATTATTCACATGCCTTATAACATTCGGTACCAGAGTTGTTACTTCGCGATGAACCGTAATCATTTTCATTGTTGTCATCGCAATCTTTGGCAAAATGTCCGGCTTTTCCACACTTAAAACTGTTAAAAGAATAATTATTAAAGACTCGTCCATTTTTAAAACAACATAACAGGATGATTATTATTAAATTATTATTATTTGTTTTACCAATCTCGACTTGCACCTCCACCTCCACCTCCACCTCCACCACCTCCACCACCATTTCCATTATCAGGGCAATTACGCGATATATGACCAGACTATAAATTCAACGTTTCTTGATTAAAAATCGATCTTTATCGTTATGAGACATGAACACATTATAATACTGTACTACCTCTCCGCACTATCCATGATATATAAAATAAGCAACATTTACATTATTGAGAGATGCAAACGCTATAAATTAGATCACTATCAAATGTTCAAGAAATTTTATGTACCTTATAACACCCTTTAGATCTGTATCCGGAATTATAGTTATCATCATCTTGAGATGCGTCACAATTTTTAGCCATATGCCCCACCTATGAAATAATAATGTTTAAATAATATGAAATCGTTGGGCGTAAAAGATAAAAGTATTCTTACTTTGCCACACTAAATTAAAGGTGAACATTAGTCAGGTTAAAATTTAATTGAATGATGAATTGAATGCGGAAGACAAAAGTCACCTTGTAACATTCGGATCCAGATCCAGACCCAGATGAACATTCGTGAGACTTATCGCAAAAAAAAAAAAAAATTTTGTAAGTTGTCCAATTTGGTTTTAAATTGCAACACTTGAGCAAGATTAATTACTACTAACCAAGTGTCCAGTTTTACCACATGTATAACATGACTTTTCTTTACGTTCACCACATTCACGACTTAAAAACATTCCAATTCAATTCAATTAATACTTAATTTTATATGATTTAGAAAATCACTACCCGTCATACCTAATGTGGCCTTCTTTGCTATTATTTAAAAAAACCGCTTAATACAGAAAAAATCGTTTTCTTTTAAATAACCATGTAAAGAAATACGTACCCGCAATTATAACTTTAATCGTAAATAAATATTAATTAATTTGGTGATCAATTCATAGATTCAATAAATTTAAGGTGATGTGTACACTTACCAGACATCGTTGGACTGAGAACAATCACGAGCAAAGTGATCACCTACAAGAAAACCCGAATTCTATTGGTTTGTATAAGCAAAACGCTATAAATATATATTTATTTATTTACTTTCACCGCATTTGTAACAGCCGCTTCCGCCACGACCACTCCTATATGCCATTATTTGTTACTTGTTCAGCAATGAGAAAAGAAACGGATAGAGATCTTTAGACACTATGTTGAAAGATTTATAATATAGTATATCATTATTTTGGCCAGCTTTAAGCGGATTTTTAAAAAAATTTTTTGGATTTTTCCGAGATCGAATTTTTTTTTTTGGCTTATCATATCATATGACCTAAATTAACTAACTAGACAAAGGTTAAGGTAACCTCAGTTTTTGAAGAACCTTATAAATACCACGAGCGCTTCTTCTTTCAAGTGAACAATTTTATTTTTTTGATCTGTTCAAATTAGAAATCATGACTGAAGGAAAACAACTCATTTTAGACACTAAAACCTTTCACAAACGCGCACGCATTTTGCAAACCACCTGGAAGGTAAGTTTTCATCCTTTTGAAATTTTTTGTATTTTCGCCAAAGTTTATGCACTACCTTTGCCTAAATCACGAAAAACAAGCGTGTATATCACTGCAATTTTCGCTCTTGCTTAAAAAGACGCGCGAAAGTTTGATTTATGTTAAGAGTTTATTCTTTGTTAAATCGCTAATAATTGACATATCGTCATTATATAGGAATCGTTGAGTAAAGATGCTGGTGACGAGTTTCAAGGAGCCGAAACAATACTCGTTATCGTCGGCGATCTACTAGAAGAATATCCATATCAAAAGTCGACGGCGATACAGGTTTGTATAATACGAACATGCCTTTCCGTTATAAAAGGCTCATACTGAATCAAGATTTTTTTTATTTACTTATTCACACTGAAGACATGGCTGTTGGGTTATGAATGGAAGGATACATTAATCCTATTTACACAAGACAAGATACATTTTGTGACAAAAGAAAAGATAGGTAATAAATCGCCATAATTTTATGTTTTAAAAAAGTTGATATCGTTATTATGCCTTATCTAAATTTCGTTATTATAGCTGAAGTGTTAGAGCAGTTAAATCAAGGTGATAAACAATTATCCATCGAGATTCATAAATATACAAAGGATCAATCACAGAACAAGAAAATTTTTGAATCCATCCTTGATTGTATAGCCAAAGGAGACAAGGTTATTATATTATATTGTTTATTTTTATCATTAGATATCATTAGAATCTTTGAGTAATTTCAATGTTTTCTTTCACTAGAAACGCCTTGGAATATTGCCAAAAGATTTGAAAGAAGGACATTTCGTACAAGAATGGCAGGAAGTTTATGAAGATTTAAAAGCCGACATTGAAGAAGTTGATGTTAGTGCTGGGATCGCATCAGTTTTAGCTATTAAAGATGATGATGAATTGGTATGTTAATGATTATACCTGGTCGCTTGCTGTTAAAATCAAGATACGAGATATATAGTAAATCATATGATCCGTAACGTGATTTTAATGGTAAAAGTTAGTAATTAAATATAAATACGAATGTACTTATATCATTGATTGATGCATTTTAAAATAATTCCTTTCAATATTTAGAAAACAATCAAAGCTGCCTGTAAACTTAGTTCCTTGGTAATGCAACATTTCATTGGAGTTGTGACTTCCATTATTGATGAAGAGAAACAAGTCACTCATGAAAAGTTATCTGAAGATATTGATAACCTATTGATAAGTGAACAAAATTCTTTCCTTAAAAAAGGAGTTCAGGACGTATGTATGCTGAAAATGAATCATATGAATGATATGCAAAAGTAATGGTTCATATAACATTATATTACAACATTTATATCAGGTTGATCTTTCGCGAGCAGAATTTTGTTATACTCCAATTATTCAAAGCGGTGGTGTCTACGATTTTAAATCTTCGGCCGAATCTGATGAGCGAGTATTACATGACGGAACAATTCTTTGTTCATTCGGTCTACGGTACAAATCATATTGCTCAAACATTGGCAGAACTATTTTATTCAACCCGACGAAGGTATTTTTTGTGGATGTTTTAATAAAAAGGAAAATTTATTACTCTGTTAACAATGTTTTCTTTTTTTCTTTTTCTAAGGAACAAGAAAAGAATTATGAAATTCTTTTAGAACTGCAGCGGCGTATTGTTGATAACATAAAAAGCGGTGTTAAGCTTCGCGATGTTTATTTGAAAGCCGTTAATTTTGTTAAAAGTAAGAAATCCGATCTGGTTAACCATTTCGTAAAGAGCCTTGGTCATGGAGTAAGGATTTATCATTTTAACCACTATTTTTAAAAAAAGAAATTGAATACATATATTAAAAAATGTCATTTAATTTTTTTATTTCATTTTTTTTTAGATGGGAATTGAATTTAGAGAATCTGCATATTCTATAAATTCCAAAAACACTAAAGAGTTCAAGCATGGAATGGTTTTTAATTTGTTTATCGGTTTTCAAAATTTAGAAAATCCAAAAGCCACAGATGAAAAGGGCAAAATGTACCTAAGTTAATCTTAATTATTTAGAATTATTCATTGTTAAATATTCCTCGGACTAAATCATTTTTTATCTCGAATATTGGGTTCAAAAGCTATTCACTTTGGATAATAGATACAATTAGAGTTTCTAATGAAACAGCAACTTTACTCACAGAAGGAAATAGAAAGTTAGATAATATGGCCTTTTCTTTTCAGGTACTTGTAATATATATATATATGCGTAGATAATTTTTTTTTTTTTTAAAAAAAAACACTTAAATAATGATGTTTATTTCATTTGTTTAGGATGGACCTGAAAGTGATCAGGAATCAAAAAAAGAGAACAAACGTTCTGCTCAAAAAGTTGAGTCAAAAAGAACTGCTACAAGGAAATCTACCATTTTGAAAAGTAAATTCAGAAGTGAAGACAAAGTGAGATTTTTTATTTTAATACTCTTAATTATCAATTTCAATCATTATCGTTTATCAAAGATAGATTTCCTTTTGTTATAGGATGAAGATTCTGAACAAAAACGTAAAGACCATCAGGCAGAATTGGCTAAACAAAAGCAAGCCGAAGGATTGGCTCGTTTTGGAGATGGTATAGATCATCAAACAAGCCAGAGGGAAGCTGTTTTTAGAAAATTCGAAAGTTATAAGAGAGATACGGCCCTTCCAAAGGAAGTCAAAGATTTAAAGGTATAAATAACTGTAATTTAAAATAAGGCATTATATGTCATTGAATGATAAAATTTTATTATAGATAGTAGTAGATCAAAGAAATGAATCAGTTATTCTTCCAGTTTTCGGGCTAGCCGTTCCTTTTCATATTTCTACTTTGAAGAATGTAAATAAGACCGAAGAGGGAGAGTACACTTATTTGCGTATAAATTTCCTAACGCCTGGACAAGCTTCTGGAAAAAAGGAAGATATGGTAATATTTAAATAAAGTTCTCATTCATTCATCATCCTATACATTGATTTACTAGTTTTTTCTTTTTATCTCTTAAGCCATTCGATGATCCGACTGCAAACTTTGTACGTGCTGTTACTTATCGAAGCACCGATGAGAATTTGTCTGAAATTTATAGGAAGATAGTGGAACTTAAAAAGACTGCTGCAAAAAAGTGGGGAAATTTGCACAAATTTTTTTAATTTATTTAAATAACAAGATCCAATAATTGACTTGGTATCTCTTATTCTGTGATTAGGGAAGCTGAAAGGAAAGAGATGTCGGATTTAGTTGAACAAGATAAGCTGATTGAGTTAAGAGGTATTCATTTATATATTCGTTTTTTTTTTTTAAAAAAAAAAAAAAACTTTATAACCTCCATTAAATCTGTTTTTTTTTTAGGTCGACGACCGACAAATCGATTGTCAGACGTGTTCGTTCGTCCAGGCCTGGATGGAAAACGTATACCTGGTGAATTAGAAATTCATGAGAATGGGTTGCGATATCAATCACATCGCTCCAACCAGAAATTAGGTTAGTGACAATTAATATTTTTTTTATTCGTTATTTTCATGGCAGTAAACTTTATTAATTGTGATTTATTGAACGAAATTAGATATTTTGTTTAGCAACATTCAACACTTATTTTTCCAGCCATGTGATAATGAACTCATCGTGTTACTACATATACATCTTAAGAATCCGGTTATACACGGGAAGAAAAAAACCCAGGTTTGTAAAATTTATATTATTCTTGGGGAAGACATTCAACTTACTTACATCACCATTTAATTAAATAGGATATACAATTTTATCGTGAAGCATCTGATGTACAATTTGATGAAACAGGGAATAGGAAAAGAAAATATCGCTATGGCGATGAAGATGAACTTGGAGCTGAACAAGAAGAAAGGAGGCGGAGAGCCTTATTGAATAAGGAATTTAAAGCCTTTTCGGAGAAGATTGCAGAAGCAGTAAGAAATAAATCTCAAATATTTATTTCTTCTCGTGGATTTCTGAACATACATATGCTTTTATTCATTCATGACAAATTTTTTTTAATACTTTAAGAGTGAAGGGCGAGTGGATGTTGACATCCCCTTCAGAGAAATTGCCTTTCAAGGTGTTCCTTTCCGAACCAATGTGTTACTACAACCCACAACGGATTGTCTCGTTCATTTAACGGATCCTCCATTTTTGATAATTACAATCGCTGATGTTGAAATCGCTCATTTGGAACGCGTTCAGGTAGCGTTATGAAAAGTCATTGCTCCTCTTCAATGTCGATTCGTCATTTTATTCTAATACTCTTGCATATACTAGTACGGATTGAAAAACTTTGATCTGGTTTTTATTTTCAAAGATTACACACGTACTCCAGTGCATATTAACACAATTCCCATGAATCAATTGGAAAATGTTAAAGATTGGCTCGAGTGAGTAGATAGTAAATTTATTAATATATATAATTTTTTTTACTACAATCGATAAAATCGATAACTGATGTTTAAAAAAAAATTTATAGTCACGTGGACTTGGTATTTTACGAGGGACCACAAAATTTAAATTGGACTCAAATTATGAGGACAATTAGTAAAGATCCAGCAGATTTCTATAAGAACGGCGGATGGTCTTTCTTAAGTATGCATGGCGAGGTAAATATCCGTGATTATAACAATAGAAAGGTTTTTTTCCTCCCCGAGTAATTTCTAATTTGTTTATCTTAGGGTGATGATTCAGAGACTTCTACTGAAACAGCCAGCGAATATGTTCTCAGCGAGAGTGAATTTAGCGAAAGTAGCGTGAGTGTCGGTATATGTTTGTTATTGATAATATCCCGTGACTTATTCTTTGCAATTTTTATCAGAGCGATGATGATAGTCGTGTTGACGAAGAAGTATCTGAATATTCAGAAGAAACAACTGATGATAGTGGTGAAAGTTGGGATGAGCTTGAAGAAAAAGCGCGTAAAGGTAATTATTATATAATTTTGAATAAATCATATGTAGAATGGAAGGAATATTTAACAACGAAATTTTATTTATAGCCGACGAACGAAAGGAGGTACCGAAACGTAAAGAAATATTTGAAGACACGCGCGGGACAAACAAAAAAACTCGTCGTTAATAATGTAATTAAATGTATAAATGTATTAATGTTTTACAAACTATATATTTTTTTTTTTTTCCATAAACGAAAAAAAAAAGATGATTTTTTTTTGTTTTTAAACAAAACACGTAAAAAAAAAATTTTTTTTTTTACTATAAATATCCATAACAAAAAAATATATACAAAGAAAAAAAAATTTTTTTTTTTTCATAATCAATTCCCGATAATAATAATTTCACGAACGAAAAAAAAAAAAAAAATAAAAAAAAAAAACTTTTTTTTTTTTTTTAAAAAATATTATAATATAATAATATAAAAGTAAGAGTAATAATATATATCTACAAAATTATTATAAAGTTCTTTGAATTTTTTCTTTTAAGATTATCGACTACCAACATCCTCCCAACTACCACCTAAAATTTCTTTTAAGCTATTCTCATCCACCGAACTTTTTTGCCAACCGGATAAAAGTCCTTCGGGTTCATTTGTAATACTTTCAATATCTTCTTCAGTAATACCATCAGCATCCCCCATAGTTATACAACCTAGGTGACCGGATTTACGTCTTAATTGAGCCAAATATCTTAAAGAATCACACGTTACAAACCTACAACCTATTATCGTCAAGCAAACCAAAGAATAACTATTATTTGCTATAGATTGTATTGAATAATTTGTTATAGAATTCATATAAGATAAATCCAACAATTGTAAATTTGGACATAGTTTTGTTAATAAAGTTATTGAAGCGTCAGTTATATCATCCTTGTCAACTCCAACCACATCATTAAAATCAAGATAAGTTATGGGAAGAAGAGTAGGACTAACAAGAGCGGAAGAATAAACGGCGTCTAACGGAGAAGGTCTCGCCAAATTTAACCATTCTAAATGTTCCCCACAAGAATTCGCAATGACTCTCACGGATGAATCGGTAATTTTACCTATTCGCGCGATATCTAACCAAGATAATCGGGTACAATTTTGTACCAACACTTCAATCGATTGTTCAGTCACCCTTGGACAATCGGATAACCTTATCTGTCGCAACCTAGGACATGATCTCGCTATAAATATGACACCCTTATCAGAGATTTTACCACAATCAGCCACGCTTAAAGAGGTAAGAGAATGACACGACTTTGATAAATATTTTAACCCCAAATCAGTGATCTTCCTACAACCACACAGGTTTATTGAAATTAACGAGGAGGAACAAGAATTCTTCGCCAGAGCTTCTAACGATGCATCGGATATGTGAGAACATCTACTAAGGTTGATACGCCTCAAATTTGGACAGGACATCGCTATCAACTGAATCGTACCATCGGTGACGTGATCGTGACCGGTTGATAAATCCAGCATCCTTATGAGAGGACCATATTTTTTAATGGGAAAGTTTTGTGATAAATGACAAATTTGAGGAGATTTATAAAGGAAAGGGGTTACTATATGATTCCATGATTTACATACGAATAAACAATTGTAAAGATCTCTTTTGGTTGGTAATTGTTCAAGCACGCACAACATTAATTCTATGGGTAAACGATGAATTGTCGCTTTCTTGACCACGTGATGTTTTTGTTTGTTCATGATGGAGATACTGGACGAGCTACGCTTGGAAGTTTTGACGGGTGAATTAACAGAATTTCGCCTTCTTTGAATCCTCATTGGTGTATTAATATTTCCCTCTGAGATCAATTTTAATTTCCGTCGCTGTTCCTCGATAAGTAATCTTGCGCTACTAGTTGAAGAGGAGGAAGAAGAAGTGGTGGAAGAGGAAGAAGAAGTGGAGGAATGGGAGTGGGAGGAGTGGGAAGATTGGGAGGAGTGGGAAGATTGGGAGGAGTGGGAGGCGGTAGAAGAACGAAATTGCTGTCGTCTCCTCTTCTTTCCATGACGAGTCGATGAAGAGGGAAAACCATTACCACTGTTTAATAAAGAATTATAGGAAACGCTCCCCTTCTTGTAATCCAATGGTTCTGATAAAATCTGCTTTATGATTGTCTCTATCAAGTTTAACACTGGCCTACAAAAGAAGAGTATGGTAGAACACCATAATTTCATCCCGATATAAATCAAATTTAAGATCATTTTCTCTTTTTTTCTTTATTTTTCCTTCGTTTAAAAAGAGTTTTTCGCGTTGTTTTAATAACTTCAAGTATTCGAGCTTTTTTTGTCATAAAAAAATATATATAAAAAGAAACTTGAATATAAATTTTATATAAAAATTTTTGAAATTTTTGAAAGGAAAAGAAAAAAATATTTTGAGGAAGTGCTAAAAAAGTATTGGAAAAAGAAAAAAAAAAATTTTTTCACACTTAAAAAATAAAAAAAAAAAATAAATTGTGGTTTTTCTTATATATAGTAAGAGATGAAAAAAATTTTTTTTATTTTTTTATTTTTTTTTTTTCCTGTCGAACAATACAATACCAGCAAGTCAACTATATATATGTGTTTTTTGAACTACATTGATTTACAATATTTGGGTGATGTAAAAAAAAAAAATTTTTTTTTTTTTTATTATTTTTCATTGTATTATTTTTATTATTATACAGTAAGACACCTTATATAAATATTATAAGATTAATATAGAAAGTAAAAAAAAAAAAAAAAATAATTATTATTAGGGCGTTTAAGATTATATAATTGGATATCAAAAGGTATAGGGAAGCGAGCACATCGAATGTAAGAGGTACCTTGAGACGGCGAAAAGAATCAAAAAAAGAAGCGAACACATAAATGTCCACGTAAACACAGAATACACTCAAATAAGTAAGGGGAAGGGAGGGAGAAATCACAATAAAATAAAATCACATATAAAGCTGTCAGATGGATACTTTTATGTGGTGCCCATTGTATTCGTCGTGTTTTTTAAAGTTCAAATAATGTAAC